TCTCAATTTTCTCTCGGCTAATAAAAAATAAGTTGCCGTTATGTGATTGTATTCATTCCTATCTAGCGCTCTGGAAATATTAAAATACGGTTATATTGGATTAAATGACAAAAAAAAAAGAAAAGAAAAAGAAAAGCTTTTAATTGACTCACTCTAAAACTTCTTCCTTGGTCGCTATGTTTCCATTCACCATTTTATTTATAATTATATTATGGTCATCTTCTGTGAGTTGATGACGCGAGACTAGAGGTAAATATTCAACCTGGGGAAGGCCACCCAACCAAGGATCGGACGCAATGTCTTCGAGCGTGGCCCTCGATTCAGGTTCTCGTACGAGCATTTTTGCTATTAAACGTTTGCACGCGTCTGAAACGTGCGTCGGAATGGTATACTTGCAATCCATGATCATTGTTAGAGTTTCGCTGTCGTTGGCTTCTTGAAATGGAGCTTGACCCGCGACCAACATGTATAAAATCACACCCAAAGACCAAACATCTGAGAAAAAAAGAAACCTCTCGTCAAAAAAAACATTTTTGGAAATTTTTTTTACAACAAAGGAGGACGAGATTAAGGTTTCCTCTCACCTACGGCAGGAGCATCGTATGAATCACCGAGTAATATTTCGGGAGCGGAATAAGCGAGGGATCCGCAAGATGTGTCCAATTTTTGTCCGGGACAAAATTTATTACTAAAACCGAAATCCGTGAGCTTAACGACTCCCAAACGTTCGAAAAAAACAACGTTTTCCGGTTTTAAATCTCTGTGGACGACGTGCAATTGATGACAATACGATATGGCACGTACGATTTGACGAAAATATTCTTTTGCCATCTGAAATTCGAAAAATAATAATAATAATAATAATAATACGATTGTACGACGATAACATGACCGTTAAAAAGTATTTTTATATTATGTAAGCGCCATAGGCAGAGTCATATGCGCCATCAATCTCGCAGATTTAAAACGAGGAGAAATTTTTATCGTCGCACCGCGCACGCGTGCACGTGCAAGTCCGAAATTTCCTTTTAATTATTACTTCTTTTAATTAATAAAAATGATTTTATTTATTTTTTATTCTTACATCTTCTCCCAAACCCGTTTCGTGTTTCATTATGTAATCGTATAAATCTCCACCGTCTCCCAATTCCAAAATCAAATACAATTTCGTTTGAGTATCTATGACTTCGTACAATCTAACAACGTTCGGATGCTGAACGAGTTTCATACACCTCACCTGGAAAAAATAATAATAATAATAAAATTGTGAACACGCACACACACACACACAACCATGGATGACGAACGAGTGGTAAATGAAAAACCCTAACCTACATTATTATCCCCCCTAACAAATCATTACCAACATTATTAATCCCCTAACAAAAATCATTATTATCATTATTTTCGCGCGTAAATAAAAAAAACGCAATTTTTATTTTTTTTTATTTTTTTTCGAAATTTTAAAAATATTTTCGAGGATTCATTTAATGACACGGAAATTAATTTCATAAAATAAACGAAAACTTTTGCCAATGAATTAAAGACAAAATTTTCTCAACATTTTGAGAGGATGAAGAGGAAAAATTGAAAAAAATTTTTTTTTTTTTTTTTTTTTTTTTTTTGGACGAAAATCAAAAAAATCGCAGAAGGGGGGGAAGGGGAAAAATCGTTTCGTCGTCCGTTATAATTGATAGAAAATTCCGTCAAAGCAAATATGTTTTTATTATCATTATTCATATTTTAATTATAAAAAATGAAACTGACCAACAGATTTTTTTTTTTTTAAATACTTTCTAATGATGTTCAAAAAAATAAAAAAAAAAAAAATTAGAGAGAAAGTTCTAGATATATTTAAACCTGAATCACACAAATCAAATTTTTTTTTTTTTTGTTACTCTCTCTCTCTCTCTCTCTCTCTCTCTCTCTGTCTTTCTCTCTCTAATTTCAAATTAATTAATTTATTGGAAAATAATTATCGAACCAAGTGGGAGGAGAATTTTTCATTATTCGATACTAATCGCAAATTCTCCTCCCACTCTCTTTTTTTTCGGGGATCGGGGGGAGGGAAGGGGGGGAGAGAAAATTAAAAACGACAAATTATTTTTATTTTATTTTTTTCCCTGTCTAATAACGATTCAAACGACGGCAGGAAACAGAGAAAGAGAGAGAGAAAACTTTAAAAAAA